ATCAGCTCTGATCACAGTGGAGAATACAAGTGCAAGTCCATCAATGAACATGGAAAGAAATACTCTGCTGCTGTGAATTTAAACGTCATGTGTGAGTTTATTAGATGGCTTTTATAATTTCAGCTCATATTAGTAATTTTTTTAATGTATTAGAGGTCTGTAATACTATGTTTATTGTTATTAGACCCTCCCAGGAGATCACAGTGGAGAATACAAGTGCAAGTCCATCAATGAACATGGAAAGAAATACTCTGCTGCTGTGAATTTAAACGTCATGTGTGAGTTTATTAGATGGCTTTTATAATTTCAGCTCATATTAGTAATTTTTTTAATGTATTAGAGGTCTGTAATACTATGTTTATTGTTATTAGACCCTCCCAGGAGCGTCTCAGTGTCCATAACTGGATCTGGTGAAATAGTGGAGGGAGATTCAGTGACTCTGAGCTGCAGCAGTGATTCAAACCCTCCTGCTCTGAACTTCAGCTGGTTTAAAGGAGGAACGTTTGTAGGATCTGGAAGAATCTACAGCATCTCAAACATCAGCTCTGATCACAGTGAAGAATACAAGTGCAAGTCCATCAATGAACATCGAGAGAAATACTCTGATGCTGTGACTTTACACATTATGTGTGAGTTAATCATAAAACAAAAGATGCTTATTCTCTGTTTTTTTCTCATCTTTTAAGTTCTTATGAGCAATTTAAAAAATGTGTAAAAGGTTTTAAATAATCGATTTGGTGATTGTCATTAGATTCTCCGAAGAATGTCTCAGTGTCCATAACTGGATCTGGTGAAATAGTGGAGGGAGATTCAGTGACTCTGAGCTGCAGCAGTGATGCAAACCCTCCTGCTCTGAACTTCAGCTGGTTTAAGGAGAATCAAAGCTCAGCTGTTGGATCTGGACAGAGTTTCAGTGCACTACAGAGTGGACGCTTCTACTGTGAGGCTCACAATCAACATGGATCTCAGAGATCAGACGCTGTTACTGTCACAGGTGAAGCTTTTATTAACACACTCCTGTATCTTCACATCATTCATCAGTGTGTTAATTATGATGATCTTCATCTTTCAGTTCATCCTGGTGCTGATAGGAACGTGATTGTGATCGCAGCAACATCTGGAGGAGTATTCATCATCATCATCATCATCATCATCCTGTTTATAGTGTGAGTTCAATAAAAAAAAACTGCAGTGATTATATATGTTCATTTTTGTTCTGATGTAGTAAAAATGTATCATATATGTTTTATTATTAGTATCGATAAGTGTATCAATAATGCAAGAGGAACGGAAATCTAATTTTCAGTTAAAATTCATAGTTGATTCAGTGATGTCATCATCCAGATCAGCTCTCTTCCAATAGTATCTGTGTGAATCAAGTTGACAATGTTGCCAGAAATTAAGCGTCCCCAACTAATCAAGCCAAAGGTGACAGTGACAAGAAACCAAAACTCCATCTCTGACAGAAATGGAGAAAAAACCTTGGGAGAAACCAGGCTCAGTCGGGGGGCAGTTCTCCTCTGGCCTGACGAAACCAGCATGATGTGGTTTAATTCCAGGCTGCAGCACAGGTCAGATTGTGCAGAGGACTCGTCTGGTTCCCGTGGTCTTGTGCCGTTGGTCATCGAGGTGATGAGGTCTTCACAGGGGATCTGTCTCTAGGGCTCATCTAGTTGACGTTCAGGGCTGTAGAGGTTGTCTTGTGCTGATCCACCATCTGGTCTGGATATGGACTGGATCTGAGTGGCTACGGTGACGCTGGAATAAGAATGAAACAGACTAATATTTGCGTATATCAAGTACATCAGGTGTTAATTATATTAATGTATGCTGTTATTGTCTGTCATTATAACAGGAGGAAAAGAAACAGGGATAAACCTGAAGATCTAACAATGAAACAGGTAAATCAACGCACCTTTACAGATGTTTACTTTACATGTTAAAAAAAAATAGTTTGAGACCTGCTGCTGTCTCAGAAGCTGCACCTCACCTCTGAAAAATTAATGTCTTAAAGTTTTTTTACAATCTCTAGGACACATTTCTCAATAATTAGGTCACTTTTTCAAAACTCTTCACACAGCGAGCTCAACATCAGTCTCTGTGCGCTAAACTGTGGATCATTTATCATTGCTTTGGCACAAAATGCATTCATTGACGGCATCTGTCAAATTACATGAATTATTGTATCACTTCGACACAAACACGACCAAAACTTTATGTACTATACAAGCCCATATGTTTGCATGCAGTTTTCAAAACTGCTAAACTTCAGTTCAAAACCTAGCACAGTAGAAAACATGAATAAGACATTTCTACAGTAATATCATATAGAAAAATATTCTGAATGTAAAAAAAATCTAATACAATCAAAGCAGTTGTCTGTAGCTTAACATCTTCACAAGAAAGTGTTTGTCCTTCACTTTCATTGCCATCTACACAAAAGGGAAATAATTTTGCACTGTAATGTAAACCATGTGACGTATACTGCAGTGAATTATAAACAGTAGAGAGTATCATTCTTGTTTTTACAAAATACAAAAGTTTATAATGCTACCTGCTGTTCGTGTTTTCAGGTTGTTGTGTTATTAGTGATAAAGTGTGTTTGTTTATGTAAGAATGCCTTGATTTGAGGCATTAATGAAGTGTTTTGGTAGTTTTGTGCATTTTGAATATGAAATGAACTGCTTTGTCAAGTTGAAAGATGGTTAGGAGAACTGTGTGAAGAGTTTTGAAAAAGTGACTTCAAAATGTTGTGTTGTTATTGTAAAAAAAAACAACTGTAATTCTGTATTTTCTTGTCTTTCAGAATGATCTTTATGCTGATGTGTCACAGAGAGTTTCAGTTCATGACGAGCCTCTTTCTGAACCTGATACAGTCAATGATGCTCTGTATGCCAATGTGAAGCCCAGCAGATTCAGAGGAGAAACTCCTGAATCCAGAGATACTGAGCAGATCCAGTGCACAACTGCTCAATATCACAGAAAGAAAGAGACGAACAGACCGCAAGACGATGAATGTCAGTATGACGATATAAGAGTTCTTCACCCTGATGCTGCCGAGAGGTGAGAAAACTAAAACTTCACCAGCATCATCATCTAATCAGAGCTGTAACGCTGTTGTGCTCCTGTTTGTTTAGATGTTCGAGGAAATCAAATGTTCAAACTGTGGAAGACGTATCGGTGATCTACAGCAGCATCAGATGAGAAGTCAGAACTCAGAAAGAGCTTTATTGCCAAGTATGTTTGCACATACAAGGAATCTGTTTTGATGACAGAAGCTTCCAGTACACAGAGACAACAACACAGATAATAAAAAATAAAGATATGTGAATATAATACACGTGTGTGTGCTATATATATGCCTCTGTTTTTAAGTTTGTTTGAGGTAAATATTTTAGTAGTGTAGAGTTTGTTGTTTTTATTTTGGTCTTTTGTTTGGGGCGTAAGCCTAGAAGTTAGAACCATATACTTCAGAGAGAAAAATAAAACATGTTCAATGTTGTTTGCATCTTATACATCACTCTTATTTAAAGTTAAGCCAAAGAATGTCCATTATACTGTAACTAAAAATGGGCAGTTTGTAACTTAAAAAAACAACAATATTGTATTTATTAATACTTAAAGTATGTTTTTACGAGCTAACAATAGTGATGTAACTTATACAATATTCAGTTGCATTAAGTATTTTATTTGATGTGTTATTGCATTTTATAAATAGTTTCCTCTTCATGTTTTACTTTGTATGCCGTCTAAGACTAATGTTAATCCCTGTCTTGGAAACCTCCCCATAATGTTACAATTAAGTCAGCAGAACATAATCCAGCTTTTAAATCAGAATTGATCATTTTGATATATTGAACAAAATCATAATTATGCACCTTCGCAATGGACAATGTATCATTTTGTTTCGAAGTGCTCAATATTATTAGCTTCTGTTATTCTGTCTTTTGTGTTCTTGTAGCTTTGTTTTTAAGTGATCAGTTTTATTTGTGATCGTCTCATATTTGTTTGTACAAACACTCAAACTACCACTGACGTGGACTTTGATGCTCACTAACTGTGAATCACAATTATTCATTTTCAATTTCAAATTTGAATCTGCTCTCTTGTGCTTCTGCACTTTAGTAAGTAAATCATCTGATCAGCTGTTGAGACAGTCACTGCTGTACAGAAGCGTGAATCACATAACGCAATAATCAAAGATATCCAGCAGGGGGAAACAGACAAAAGAGCAAAGAGTTTCTTCTTCCTGAATCCAAAGACATCAACTAACCTTTATAATAAATGTGAAATAGCCAGCAGAATGTCTGGTTACATAATCCCATTCCCTACAAATCTTGATTAAATGTATTTAAATGAACATAAAGAAAAAGATCATTTATTTTTCTGAAGTTAGTTTTAGTTCAGTGACGTTCTCTTGTTGAAGCAGGGACACTGATATTTCTGCTGATGGACTTTAAAAAAGTGTTAACCACAAATAATATGTCAGTGTAAAGTTGTCATTTGGTTGCTGCTGATCTGATGAGCTTCAAAACATGCAGTAAGACAAACACTCTCATACTTTAATGAAATCATTGTGTCTTAACACGAGAAATGTTAAAGCAGAATGTCTGGTTACATAATCCCATTCCCTACAAATCTTGATTAAATGTATTTAAATGAACATAAAGAAAAAGATCATTTATTTTTCTGAAGTTAGTTTTAGTTCAGTGACGTTCTCTTGTTGAAGCAGGGACACTGATATTTCTGCTGATGGACTTTAAAAAAGTGTTAACCACAAATAATATGTCAGTGTAAAGTTGTCATTTGGTTGCTGCTGATCTGATGAGCTTCAAAACATGCAGTAAGACAAACACTCTCATACTTTAATGAAATCATTGTGTCTTAACATGAGAAATGTTAAGAATAGGGTGATGTTCATGTACTGTTGATGAGTGTATAAGTGCTGATTAATGCTGTATTATAGATATATTTGACGCTGATGTGGGTCAGAATGGCTCCTCGTCTTCCTCTGATCTTTCTGCTCATGATTCACGGTGAGTCTCTGTTACATTCACATCACAAACACTCACCTCACAATGAGCGGCTGATGAGCACTTTCTTCTGTTCTGTCCTGTTCTCACATATTTCCTTTTAAACATGAAGTTTGGCTGAGATACGTCAAAGTGCTCGTGCCTTTTATAATTAATGCACAGTGACAAGGAGTGAAAAGAGAACCAAGTAATCAATAACATACTGCACTATTGAATAATGAAAAACAAGACTAAGAAAATAATCAAACTTGATTTATTAAATGCCCACTGTAAGTTGTGTGGCTTTTACTTTGTCTATCAATACATTATATAACATATACAAATTCACTTCTGAGATCATGAGCCAAAAATATTCACAATCTGGTGCTACACTGACTTTTTTCCAGTCAGGTTCTCCAAACAATGAGCAATTAAACCACATGAAACTGACTAGAAAATAGCAAAAGACTATTGCTGCTTTATCCTCTGTAGGATTGTAAGGAGGGCTGGAGTCTATCCCAGAATCTCTGGCCGTAGAAACACCCTGGACAGTTTGTGATGGATTCACACACACACACATACAGACACACACACACCCTGATGCCTTTTCCTGTAAATCAGAGCACTGTATTATGTTTAACTTCTGTAGCAAAAAAACAGCAGCATTGCATCTTCTTTCAAACTGGTCAACCCCAACAGAAGGTAGGCTCAGTTTGAGTTGTTTATTTGGATTATAAGAGGTGTGTTTTGATTTTACTGGCATGATGTAGCTCATATTTAAGTGTGACATATGAGCAGTTAAACCACATGAAACTGACTAGAAAATAGCAAAAGACTATTGCTGCTTTATCCTCTGTAGGATTGTAAGGAGGGCTGGAGTCTATCCCAGAATCTCTGGCCGTAGAAACACCCTGGACAGTTTGTGATGGATTCACACACACACACACACACCCTGATGCCTTTTCCTGTAAATCACAGCACTGTATCCATTTTCCTCTGTTGCCAAGGACAACCTGGAGGCCAACATCAGTTAATCTGAAGTTAAACCTGCCTCTGACCACGTTTAAGTTATTCCTTCACTTAGACCCAGGCTAGCTCTGATCCTCCTGATCCTTGATTATAAATCAATATAAGGGAAAGTCTAAGACTATTTTAAACCATGTCTGAGAAATGCTTTTTCACTTAGTATAGTTTAAATGTGCATTTTCGTCTAAGACTAATGTTAATCCCTGTCTTGGAAACCTCCCCATAATGTTACAATTAAGTCAGCAGAACATAATCCAGCTTTTAAATCAGAATTGATCATTTTGATATATTGAACAAAATCATAATTATGCACCTTCGCAATGGACAATGTATCATTTTGTTTCGAAGTGCTCAATATTATTAGCTTCTGTTATTCTGTCTTTTGTGTTCTTGTAGCTTTGTTTTTAAGTGATCAGTTTTATTTGTGATCGTCTCATATTTGTTTGTACAAACACTCAAACTACCACTGACGTGGACTTTGATGCTCACTAACTGTGAATCACAATTATTCATTTTCAATTTCAAATTTGAATCTGCTCTCTTGTGCTTCTGCACTTTAGTAAGTAAATCATCTGATCAGCTGTTGAGACAGTCACTGCTGTACAGAAGCGTGAATCACATAACGCAATAATCAAAGATATCCAGCAGGGGGAAACAGACAAAAGAGCAAAGAGTTTCTTCTTCCTGAATCCAAAGACATCAACTAACCTTTATAATAAATGTGAAATAGCCAGCAGAATGTCTGGTTACATAATCCCATTCCCTACAAATCTTGATTAAATGTATTTAAATGAACATAAAGAAAAAGATCATTTATTTTTCTGAAGTTAGTTTTAGTTCAGTGACGTTCTCTTGTTGAAGCAGGGACACTGATATTTCTGCTGATGGACTTTAAAAAAGTGTTAACCACAAATAATATGTCAGTGTAAAGTTGTCATTTGGTTGCTGCTGATCTGATGAGCTTCAAAACATGCAGTAAGACAAACACTCTCATACTTTAATGAAATCATTGTGTCTTAACACGAGAAATGTTAAGAATAGGGTGATGTGCATGTACTGTTGATGAGTGTATAATAATGCTGTAATGCTGTATTATAGATATATTTGACGCTGATGTGGGTCAGAATGGCTCCTCGTCTTCCTCTGATCTTTCATTCACGGTGTCACGGTGAGTCTCTGTTACATTCACATCACAAACACTCACGTCACAATGAGCGGCTGATGAGCACTTTCTTCTGTTCTGTCCTGTTCTCACATATTTCCTTTTAAACATGAAGTTTGGCTGAGATACGTCAAAGTGCTCGTGCCTTTTATAATTAATGCACAGTGACAAGGAGTGAAAAGAGAACCAAGTAATCAATAACATACTGCACTATTGAATAATGAAAAACAAGACTAAGAAAATAATCAAACTTGATTTATTAAATGCCCACTGTAAGTTGTGTGGCTTTTACTTTGTCTATCAATACATTATATAACATATACAAATTCACTTCTGAGATCATGAGCCAAAAATATTCACAATCTGGTGCTACACTGACTTTTTTCAAGTCAGGTTCTTCAAACAATGAGCAATTAAACCACATGAAACTGACTAGAAAATAGCAAAAGACTATTGCTGCTTTATCCTCTGTAGGATTGTAAGGAGGGCTGGAGTCTATCCCAGAATCTCTGGCCGTGACAACACCCTGGACAGTTTGTGATGGATTCACACACACACACACACACCCTGATGCCTTTTCCTGTAAATCACAGCACTGTATTATGTTTAACTTCTGTAGCAAAAAAACAGCAGCATTGCATCTTCTTTCAAACTGGTCAACCCCAACAGAAGGTAGGCTCAGTTTGAGTTGTTTATTTGGATTATAAGAGGTGTGTTTTGATTTTACTGGCATGATGTAGCTCATATTTAAGTGTGACATGAATAATCATCTAGAGCAGCTGCTACTCCTGTCTTTAAAGCCTCCTGTAGTGTCGCTCCATCACTAGCAGAGTTCACTGCTGAATCTAGAGCAGCTGCTACTCCTGTCTTTAGAGCCTCCTGTAGTGTCGCTCCATCACTAGCAGAGTTCACTGCTGCATCTAGAGCAGCTGCTTCTCATGTCTTTAAAGCCTCCTGTAGAGTCGCTCCATCACTAGCAGAGTTCACTGCTGAATCTAGAGCAGCTGCTACTCCTGTCTTTAAAGCCTCCTGTAGTGTCGCTCCATCACTATCAGTGGTCACTACTGCATCTAGAGCAGCTGCTTCTCCTGTCTATAATGCCTCCTGTAGTGTCGCTCCATCACTAGCAGAGTTCCCTGCTGCATCTAGAGCAGCTGCTACTCCTGTCTATAATGCCTCCTGTAGTGTCGCTCCATCACTAGCAGTGGTCACTACTGCATCTAGAGCATCTGCTACTCCTGTCTATAATGCCTCCTGTAGTGTCGCTCCATCACTAGCAGAGTTCACTGCTGCAGCTAAATTTTGCAGGACTCTCCGGAAGTAGGATTGGATATCTGTCATAACTTCTAATTGCACACTTGTTCTATGCATATGGCACTGCGTGATGGTCAAATACGTGGCCATAAGTTTCTATGGTTTGAGTTTCAGGAGAGATGAAGGTGCCATTGAAAACACATGAATCAACAGCAGAAATTTCGATTGGCAAAGGGTGGGATCCATGCAACATCTGTGAATTTCTCCCCTGCTGCTTTCTTATGATAATACCAATGGAGGCAGAGGCTGCTCACTGCAGAACCACTGGGTGGAAATGAACTAATCCAGCTCCATCTTTAAATCCAACCACATATTAATCCTAATCCTAAACCCCACTAGTTCATGTTTCACGCATTTGACCCATGTAGGTGCATTTTTGACTTCATGCAGCACTGCACAGACCGATCAGCGTCTGACTTGAAGCAATGCATGCCGGTTAGAATTTTTATTTTTTCCTTTTTTTTTTGCTCTTTTTAATTTTTAATGCGCAATAAAATACTCACTAATAGCAGTAAAAAGTCTTTAAAAATCGTAATGTTATGTTGAATCATGTTTATCAAAATAAATAAAAATGTTATCCAAAGGAAACTGTTAATATTGCATCTACTCCACTTCATCTGTGATAAAGAATGAAAACACAGCATGAGCGTCACTATGGGAAGCAGAAATCCATCCGATTGGTTACAGCCAGCTGAAGTCAAATACACAGATTTGGTTTTGCAGTCAGCAGCTCTTGACTCGAAGAAATGTCAAGGTTTATTTGATTACTGTATGTAATTATATATCTGGTTTGTCTTTAGTTACATTTATTTGTTTACTTTAATTAAAGCTGTAAATATTAGTTTAGTGTAATATATTGATGTTTGTGGGGATGCCGTCTGTCTGAAATACTGCGGTCTCATTCAGTAGGTTAGTTTTAATCCGTTCAGTTGACCTCAGTTGTTTAAGTCTACTTGAATTATTTGACTAAGTTTGTTCATATTGTATTCTTTACTCGTGATTGATTTTAAATACTGGGTAAAAACACAAATTTTGAAAAAGCCATGCCTGCCCTACCACATACGTTGCTTGGTCTTCCTCAGCGCAGCGTGTTTTGGATTCTCCATTATAATCCCAGCTGGTCATTAACTCATCATCTGATCATAGAGACTCCATGCCTGAGATTGGTGTGTCCAATAATGCAAACATCCTGAACTCCAGGACAGCTTCAAAAGAGCGTCAACTCAAGTCAAGTTTATTTGTACAGCGCTTTTCACAATACACAGTATTTCAGCTTATTATCTTCATGGCATATTGTCACATTTAGCAGTTTAGAGCTGGTGAGAATTTACTTTCTGCGGTGATATAAATCAGGCAGTTGAAATTTCTTATCCAGTATCACTTTACATAAATATACATTATGGACAAATTTGGTAATATATCCATCTTCATGTTTAGTAAAATATAAAGTTAGCATTTTGTGATGATATAAACAGTCAGGCAGCTTAGCTTTGCTAGTTAATATATGTCGCTCTATGTGAGTATAGATAGATAGATAGATAGATAGTAATATGACCAGTACTTCCTAACTAGCCATTGATGAGTAACCGTTAATTAGCAAAAACAAAAAGCATAGGATGGACTTTAGCTCTCGATACTGTAAAGCTGTAGCGTGTGAGTGTCACATTAGGTTAATTAATTTAGACTGACCTGTATATGCAGATGCCATGTTGTTCTGCAGGTCTGCTGTTTGCTTTGAGTCTCCCTGTCTTTGTCTTGCTGTGTGAAGTGAATGCGAGTAACTGAAAGTGTCCAATCTCACCTTAATAAATCATAGACGCCACCTATTGGCTGTTTATGAGTCACTTACAAGTTCAGAAAGTACAGAAATATGGTTTTGCACATAATGTCTGTTGTCTCAGAAGTTAACCAGAGTTTGGAGTGGATATTATATCAAATTAATAAATCCTGGAACAGTGACAAGAAAAAATACACTTCAAAAATTTTTTTGTGAAGTTGTAAATAAAACTAACTATTGGAGTTTAATTTCGTGTTAAATTCGATGTATTAACTTAACATTTCTTGGTGATTTCTTAATTTACTAGCAGGTTCAGAGTGAAAATTGTTGAAATCTTATAAAATGTGCAAACTCACTGCCTTAATTCATTTAATTAATTGAAATATTTCATTTAATACCACTGTTGCATGTTCTTTCCTAAATTATAAAGAAATAAAAGGCTTCATCAACTCTTCACTAATGACAGCTGTCAATCATGTGTGGCTCCGCCCACAGAGCTCAGGATTGGTTCCTTTGTGCTCCGCCTCTCACTGCAGCATCTTCCTGTTGATCTGAAGAAACAACTAGAAGAAGAACGACTGACTGAAGTTCATCAGCAACATTATAAACCTTCCACACGCTTCATAAAACAATCTAACTAGAACTGAAGAGAGTTGTATTGATTATATGGAGAGGAGCTGCAGTTCAGACACTTACTGATGGATTCTCATGTTTAGGATCAAGAGTCTTCAGGAGGTCTGGGACGAACGGTCTGTGTGGAAGACAGCGAGAGATCGGTCATGTGATCATCTGTGATGATGATCTGACTTTGACGTCTCACTTACTGTGAGTGTGTCGTACAGGTCAGAGGTCGTGGACTTGAGCTCAAGAGCTGTAAATGTGTCTTCACTGGGATCAGACATCTACAGCGACACAGAGACGGAAGAACTTGCTTCAAAAAATAATAGTGGGTAATAAAAGTAAAATTCATAGCACAATATTAAATACATATATTCATTTTCAAAATAGATTTGTGCTCATGATTTATTGGTTTGAATCATTCTGAGATCAGGCTTTTTTAAATGATTAGTCGACTCATATGAGTCATTTATTTGTGAATCGGATTCTGCTGCTCGTGCTATTTGTTTTTCTGTTCGGGTTATGAGGAGAGTTCAACAGGTAAAAAAAATAACATTTTAATTTAGTATTTTTATATATAAATTTATATATATATATTTTTTTTTTCTTTATATCTTGTGTCACACCATGTATGGGCACTTCACATACAGACAGCCATCTGTTTAAAGAGAGAAATATAAGTTTCTGAATGTTTTTTGGTGGATTATGTTGATAAAGACTGAATTGATTTTCTGCTTCTGTAAAGTTGTGTCTGGAAGATTTACCTGCGTCATTGTGAGATCTTCAGATTTAACACTCCTTCGTTTCTTTCTGTAATAATGACAGACATTGACAGCATATCGACAACTGTATTTGAAAATATCAATGTTGTTAATGGTTCTCACATTATGAACAGGATGATGATGATAATGATGGTAATGAGCATTAATGATGCTCCACATTCCACTGTGATCCCAAAAACCTCATGCCAACTGGATCTGCGATGCTCTGAAAGAGAGAAACAAATCAGCTGAGATTAACTGTCCGAACCAAAGAAAGTTATACAGGTTTGATCTCACAGACCTTCACCTGTGACAGTAACAGCGTCTGATCTCTGAGATCCATGTTGATTGTGAGCCTCACAGTAGAAGCGTCCACTCTGTAGTGCACTGAAACTCTGTCCAGATCCAACAGCTGAGCTTTGATTCTCCTTAAACCAGCTGAAGTTCAGAGCAGGAGGGTTTGCATCACTGCTGCAGCTCAGAGTCACTGAATCTCCCTCCACTATTTCACCAGATCCAGTTATGGACACTGAGACATTCTTTGGAGGGTCTAAAGAGGACACAAATAAAATGTGTAGTTCCAAACAAACTCAACAATTTATTAAAAAGAGCAAATGAATCAGGACTCACACGTGACACTGAGACGAGCAGCAGGAGAGATGTAACTGTGTCCATGTAGAGCACAGCTGTATCTGCCTGCATCCTCTCTTCTGACTGACTGCAGCAGGAGTTGATTGTTTCCGTCTCTTCTCTCAGTTAATGGCTGTGAGTTTCTGTACCAGATGAATGTTGCTCTGTCAGTCAGAGTGCAGCTGCTGTTACATGTCAGACTGACATTATGACCCTCTGTCACTCTCTCAGGAGCCTCCACCTGAAGATCTGAACACAACACACACATTATATCTAGTGCTGCTGTCATACACTGATTATTATTCAACATAATGCACAGAAGAAGAGCTCAGCCTCATGAAAGTCACCTGTGACAGTAAGAGTCACTCCTGGATCACCAGTCCATTTTCCATCAGGTTTATCAGAGATTAATCTGAAACAGTACATGTGTTCATCTTTCTGTGTCACATGACTCAGTCTGATGCTGCGGTTCTGCTGTGTGTCTCCCAGATACTGAAGCCTCTGACTGTATTCAGGATCCTCAGACAGATCTGGAGGCTCTTCACCCTTTACAGGGTTTTTGGTCCAGAACACTTTCAGGATCTGATGTCCAGTAGGGTATGTATAAGTGCAGTTCATTATCACTGATGAGTTCTTTAGTGCACAGATGTGTGAAGGACTGTAACTCACACCCCAACCAGCACCAGAAACCCCTGAAACACAGAAACAATAACAATGAATATGTTTCTTTATGAGTTACTGAGCAATGAATTTTTGCAGCTTTTAGTGAATGTGTGTAAGACACGTAGATCTTGACAATCTTAAGTTATTATTAGCAGACATACACAGTAATGTACAGTATTTCTCATTTATACTTGCGCACTGGGACAGATATTTGATCAATATAACGCTACAGGCTTCCACAACACGATATTTACAGAGCAGGAAAAAAAGTTTAAAAAGCACAGTGAAGTCAGAACTCAACAGAAATGCTGCACTATGGGTCAGTGTTGACCTGCGGTTCAATTATTAGCCCTCTAGTGTCGAGATCAGAAGCAATACAGCACTATGAAGACTAGGAAGATGAGTGGAGGTGATGAAGAAGAGCAGAAATCAGAGATTTGCCACAATTGATGCTGCACAAATAATGAAATACATTGAAAACTATTTAAATAATATGACTTTGATCAGTGAATATAGAGTGAACTGTTGCCGTATCATCAGAGACTCACAGTGAATCACGAGGAGAAAGATCAGAGGAAGAGGAGGAGCCATTCTGACTGACATCACCAGAGCAACACCTACAACAACCAATAAACAATCAGTTACTGCACCTACAATATAACATGATATAAAATGAAATTGCTATATCTTAACATAGTTATAGGGTTCGTAGCATTAAGTACACAGAGGACATACACTTTAAAACAATAAAAAGCTTCAGTAGTTGATCTTTTTAAGTAAGAAGTTTCAGTGTGTCTTCATTGTACATCACACTCCTTTTATTCCTGATGATAGTGAGTTCATTGCCAACAACTAATATTCTGCTGAATTTTGAGGAGGTTTCTGGTGATCAGATGTCATGAATCACTGCAGACTCTAGATCGGAATATTGACTACAATATTTACAATACATCTACAAGAACAACAGAAAAGCAACAGCAGAATGTTTTACAAAAGGAATGTGACCGAATGAAGTAAAAACAGAGAAATATGGAGTAGTTTTACCATGTTTTAGTGAGTCTCTCGTCCATCAGATGTGAAAGGATGAAAACAGACAACAAACAGAGGAAGGACACGTCAGATGTTTCCTCATGAAGTCCTCATGGCATGTTTACATGCTTCTTTCTCTGCATTTCTTTGCCTCTTTATGCATCAAAACAATCAGCGTGAAATCTTTCAAATAATGTAACTTTCTTACTTTAATACACCTATTCTGCAAAACCATCAAACCAAACTGAAATCAAAAGCTACAACACTAAAACACAAGCCAAGAAAACAGGGGCGTGGACTTGAGAATTCTGGAACAGTTACGCAATAGTGATCTGAACAATGCAACACTATACACCCTCAAACAGTGCCCTTAACAGCTGCTTACACATGTGTGAAGATGAGCGGAGTGTGATGAAGATCTGCTGCACAAAAGATGAAATCCACTGAATACAGTTTAACCTGTTAAGTGTCACCGGCCCAGCGGTGGGCCCACAGCATTACATCATTTATTGTCTTATTACTCTATCAAAAATGTCAGTAATCACCCGAAGTTAGATACAATTTGAAAGCTTAAAACCTCAAAATTCATCCCGTGAAAACCATTTTAAAATCGGGCATTGTTGGAAATGGTACTTTTAAATATTTTGGTGGTCTCCTCCCCCTAAGTGGGCGTGAACTCCCCCTGAGTCTCAAGATTCACTATTTGGTGGTTATTTTGTGATCTAAGTAATATTGGCAGAGAAAGGTTGACATTTGTGACAGAAAAATGCATTAAAAAATGCCAATGGAGTTTGTGTGTCACCCGGTGGCTGTTTGTGCTTCAGCGCTCAAAATAAAATCTCACAGGAACCTCCATTTTTTTATATCAACTGCAAAGTTGGAATATAACTTATTTAGACACAAGGCTTTAATTTTATAGTCATTTTAGTGTAAAACCTGCTATGAAAATTATTTATTTTATATAAAATAAAATAACAATTGTACAGTGCATTTTCTATACAGTAAATTTAAACTTCTATAACTTTTTGATACTTTCATATTTTGAAATGCTTCCACTTCTGCAATAAAAAGCTGATTGTCTTCTTTAGAAAGAGTCCAACCTTAGGTCTGTATTCCAAAGTGTGCATTAATTATGACAATTTAAGTTTGGATAGTGCACTTTCATGTCTATGTTAAAAAATGGGGGTGACAATATTACTTTGATCCCAGAAAAAAATAAAATGTGTTTTTTTTTTATATATATATCAATGATTCAGCATAATCTGAAACAGTACATGTGTTCATCTTTCTGTGTCACATGACTCAGTCTGATGCTGCGGTTCTGCTGTGTGTCTCCCAGATACTGAAGCCTCTGACTGTATTCAGGATCCTCAGACAGATCTGGAGGCTCTTCACCCTTTACAGGGTTTTTGGTCCAGAACACTTTCAGGATCTGATGTCCAGTAGGGTATGTATAAGTGCAGTTCATTATCACTGATGAGTTCTTTAGTGCACAGATGTGTGAAGGACTGTAACTCACACCCCAACCAGCACCAGAAACCCCTGAAACACAGAAACAATAACAATGAATATGTTTCTTTATGAGTTACTGAGCAATGAATTTTTGCAGCTTTTAGTGAATGTGTGTAAGACACGTAGATCTTGACAATCTTAAGTTATTATTAGCAGACATACACAGTAATGTACAGTATTTCTCATTTATACTTGCGCACTGGGACAGATATTTGATCAATATAACGCTACAGGCTTCCACAACACGATATTTACAGAGCAGGAAAAAAAGTTTAAAAAGCACAGTGAAGTCAGAACTCAACAGAAATGCTGCACTATGGGTCAGTGTTGACCTGCGGTTCAATTATTAGCCCTCTAGTGTCGAGATCAGAAGCAATACAGCACTATGAAGACTAGGAAGATGAGTGGAGGTGATGAAGAAGAGCAGAAATCAGAGATTTGCCACAATTGATGCTGCACAAATAATGAAATGCATTGAAAACTATTTAAATAATATGACTTTGATCAGTGCATATAGAGTGAACTGTTGCCGTATCATCAGAGACTCACAGTGAATCACGAGGAGAAAGATCAGAGGAAGAGGAGGAGCCATTCTGACTGACATCACCAGAGCAACACCTACAACAACCAATAAACAATCAGTTACTGCACCTACAATATAACATGATATAAAATGAAATTGCTATATCTTAACATAGTTATAGGGTTCGTAGCATTAAGTACACAGAGGACATACACTTTAAAACAATAAAAAGCTTCAGTAGTTGATCTTTTTAAGTAAGAAGTTTCAGTGTGTCTTCATTGTACATCACACTCCTTTTATTCCTGATGATAGTGAGTTCATTGCCAACAACTAATATTCTGCTGAATTTTGAGGAGGTTCCTGGTGATCAGATGTCATGAATCACTGCAGACTCTAGATCGGAATATTGACTATAACATTTACAATACATCTACAAGAACAACAGAAAAGCAACAGCAGAATGTTTTACAAAAGGAATGTGACCGAATGAAGTAAAAACAGAGAAATATGGAGTAGTTTTACCACGTTTCAGTGAGTCTCTCGTCCATCAGATGTGAAAGGATGAAAACAGAGAACAAACAGAGGAAGGACACGTCAGATGTTTCCTCATGAAGTCCTCATGGCATGTTTACATGCTTCTTTCTCTGCATTTCTTTGCCTCTTTCTGCATCAAAACAATCAGCGTGAAACCTTTCAAAGAATGTAACTTTCTTACTTTAATACACCTATTCTGCAAAACCATCAAACCAAACTGAAATCAAAAACCACAACACTAAAACACAAGCCAGAAAACAGGGGCGTGGACTTGAGAATTCTGGAACAGTTACACAATAATGATCTGAACAATGCAACACTATACACCCTCAAACAGTGCCCTTAACAGCTGCTTACACATGTGTGAAGATGAGCGGAGTGTGATGAAGATCTGCTGCACAAAAGATGAAATCCACTGAATACAGTTTAACCTGTTAAGTGTCACCGGCCCAGCGGTGGGCCCACAGCATTACATCATTTATTGTCTTATTACTCTTAACAAAAATGTCAGTAATCACCCGAAGTTAGATATAATTTGAAAGCTTAAAACCTCAAAATTCATCCCGTGAAAACCATTTTAAAATCGGACATTGTTGGAAATGATACTTTTAAATATTTAAAGTGGGCATGAACTCCCCATGAGTCTCAAGATTCCCTATTTGGTGGTTATTTTGTGATCGAAGTAATATTGACAGAGAAAGGTTGACATTTGTGACAGAAAAATGCATAAAAAATGCCAATGGAGTTTGTGTGTCACCCGGTGGCTGTTTGTGGTGCACCGCTCAAAATAAAATCTCACAGGAACCTCTAATTTTATAGTACTTTTAGTGTAAAACCTGCTATGAAAATTATTTATTTTATATAAAATAAAATAACAATTGTACAGTGCATTTTCTATACAGTAAATTTAAACTTCTATAACTTTTTGATACTTTCATATTTTGAAATGCTTCCACTTCTGCAATAAAAAGCTGATTGTCTTCTTTAGAAAGAGTCCAACCTTAGGTCTGTATTCCAAAGTGTGCATTAATTATGACAATTTAAGTTTGGATAGTGCACTTTCATGTCTATGTTAAAAAATGGGGGTGACAATATTACTTTGATCCCAGAAAAAAATAAAATGTGTTTTTTTTTTATATATATATCAATGATTCAGCATTAATCAGTATGTCGGCAGCTCTTAAAACATAAACAATTTGTTTTACTATTTCTGTTAAACAACATTTTCTACTATTTGTTAAAAATGGAAATTCTAAGCAAGAAATATTAACACAAATCTGGCAGTCCTCCCATGGTGTGCCATAACCAAGCCACATATGGCTCTCAGTTGTGTGCTATCATCTGGACCATATACCTCAAAAAAATTATCATCCAAAAGAAAATTCCCTCCAATACTAAATCTATGGCAAAACATATACGGTTAAAGTTTGGCCCATATGTGCTCAGCCATGCCATACCTAGGCCAAATGTGACAGCTATCAGCCACATTTGGCCCAAACGTTCTTGATATCTGGGTTCTGTCTTGATTAGTTTGAAAGAAACTCGGATGCTGATGTGTTTCTGCGAAAGTGAAACTGAAAGTAAACTGTGCTCTTCAGGAAAAGCCTTGAACTACAGGAAAACACATCAGTGTGTGTGTGTGTGTGTGTGTGTGAGAGAGAGAGAGAGCGTGTGTTTCACCGTCAGTTTATTTGCAGTTTAATTTATTTATCATACAGCTGCACCAAACTATAAATATTGTCATGATATACTGATTTATTTCTCGCCATACTATGCTAACTAATCCACATTTTATAAATCATTTAATTCACAATTCCTTTCTCTACCTGAAGAGCTGGAGATAAACAATGGAATTATAGTTAAATATTGTGGCTTAATTTGTAATTTATCCTAAAAAACAGCTTAATTTAGCAAACCACTCCTTCACAACCGCTGCGAAATGCAATTCTTTTTAACGTTTCTATATGCGTCCAGTTCACACAAACTTGAACAATAGAAATACTCACATATTTCCTATCATGAATATGAAAGACGACAGAGCCAATGAGAGTTTTTAAGGACACATGTAGCAACCCAATCCTGTTCTCCAGGATCTTCTCCTGAATCTCTTCATCCTAAATCCAGCTGAGAGTTCATTGCCAACAACTAATATTCTGCTGAATTTTGAGGAGGTTCCTGGTGATCAGATGTCATGAATCACTGCAGACTCTAGATCGGAATATTGACTATAACATTTACAATACATCTACAAGAACAACAGAAAAGCAACAGCAGAATGTTTTACAAAAGGAATGTGACCGAATGAAGTAAAAACAGAGAAATATGGAGTAGTTTTACCACGTTTCAGTGAGTCTCTCGTCCATCAGATGTGAAAGGATGAAAACAGAGAACAAACAGAGGAAGGACACGTCAGATGTTTCCTCATGAAGTCCTCATGGCATGTTTACATGCTTCTTTCTCTGCATTTCTTTGCCTCTTTCTGCATCAAAACAATCAGCGTGAAACCTTTCAAAGAATGTAACTTTCTTACTTTAATACACCTATTCTGCAAAACCATCAAACCAAACTGAAATCAAAAACCACAACACTAAAACACAAGCCAGAAAACAGGGGCGTGGACTTGAGAATTCTGGAACAGTTACACAATAATGATCTGAACAATGCAACACTATACACCCTCAAACAGTGCCCTTAACAGCTGCTTACACATGTGTGAAGATGAGCGGAGTGTGATGAAGATCTGCTGCACAAAAGATGAAATCCACTGAATACAGTTTAACCTGTTAAGTGTCACCGGCCCAGCGGTGGGCCCACAGCATTACATCATTTATTGTCTTATTACTCTTAACAAAAATGTCAGTAATCACCCGAAGTTAGATATAATTTGAAAGCTTAAAACCTCAAAATTCATCCCGTGAAAACCATTTTAAAATCGGACATTGTTGGAAATGATACTTTTAAATATTTAAAGTGGGCATGAACTCCCCATGAGTCTCAAGATTCCCTATTTGGTGGTTATTTTGTGATCGAAGTAATATTGACAGAGAAAGGTTGACATTTGTGACAGAAAAATGCATAAAAAATGCCAATGGAGTTTGTGTGTCACCCGGTGGCTGTTTGTGGTGCACCGCTCAAAATAAAATCTCACAGGAACCTCTAATTTTATAGTACTTTTAGTGTAAAACCTGCTATGAAAATTATTTATTTTATATAAAATAAAATAACAATTGTACAGTGCATTTTCTATACAGTAAATTTAAACTTCTATAACTTTTTGATACTTTCATATTTTGAAATGCTTCCACTTCTGCAATAAAAAGCTGATTGTCTTCTTTAGAAAGAGTCCAACCTTAGGTCTGTATTCCAAAGTGTGCATTAATTATGACAATTTAAGTTTGGATAGTGCACTTTCATGTCTATGTTAAAAAATGGGGGTGACAATATTACTTTGATCCCAGAAAAAAATAAAATGTGTTTTTTTTTTATATATATATCAATGATTCAGCATTAATCAGTATGTCGGCAGCTCTTAAAACATAAACAATTTGTTTTACTATTTCTGTTAAACAACATTTTCTACTATTTGTTAAAAATGGAAATTCTAAGCAAGAAATATTAACACAAATCTGGCAGTCCTCCCATGGTGTGCCATAACCAAGCCACATATGGCTCTCAGTTGTGTGCTATCATCTGGACCATATACCTCAAAAAAATTATCATCCAAAAGAAAATTCCCTCCAATACTAAATCTATGGCAAAACATATACGGTTAAAGTTTGGCCCATATGTGCTCAGCCATGCCATACCTAGGCCAAATGTGACAGCTATCAGCCACATTTGGCCCAAACGTTCTTGATATCTGGGTTCTGTCTTGATTAGTTTGAAAGAAACTCGGATGCTGATGTGTTTCTGCGAAAGTGAAACTGAAAGTAAACTGTGCTCTTCAGGAAAAGCCTTGAACTACAGGAAAACACATCAGTGTGTGTGTGTGTGTGTGTGTGTGTGAGAGAGAGAGAGAGCGTGTGTTTCACCGTCAGTTTATTTGCAGTTTAATTTATTTATCATACAGCTGCACCAAACTATAAATATTGTCATGATATACTGATTTATTTCTCGCCATACTATGCTAACTAATCCACATTTTATAAATCATTTAATTCACAATTCCTTTCTCTACCTGAAGAGCTGGAGATAAACAATGGAATTATAGTTAAATATTGTGGCTTAATTTGTAATTTATCCTAAAAAACAGCTTAATTTAGCAAACCACTCCTTCACAACCGCTGCGAAATGCAATTCTTTTTAACGTTTCTATATGCGTCCAGTTCACACAAACTTGAACAATAGAAATACTCACATATTTCCTATCATGAATATGAAAGACGACAGAGCCAATGAGAGTTTTTAAGGACACATGTAGCAACTCAATCCTGTTCTCCAGGATCTTCTCCTGAATCTCTTCATCCTAAATCCAGCTGATCTGGACCGCATACAATAAACAGAGCAGAAGAGAATATTTTCTGTGAGTATAATCGCTTACAGCTGGACATGTTTCTTTCACAAACCTGCTGAATAGCTTGAGAAGACTGTCAGTTCAGAGCACGTATGAACTGATTTTATAGCAGCATACTTTATATTTGTCCCTGTTAAAGCAACTAGCAGAAATGGGTGTGAGACGCTCGCGCTTGGGCTCTGTTATACTCGCTTAAACCAACCCTGTTAAAAGATGGAGATAAGTTATGACAATGCCTAATTAT